GCTCAATGGGATTTACCTGTATAAATAAAGGTTGATTGATTGATTGATTTGCCAGAAACTTATCAGATGTTTGAAACCACTTAGAGAGGTCAAAGGTCGAGAGCTTCAGATCTTTTTACAAGATAATCCAGGAAACAGGAGCGGAGTAGAAGAAGGTCCTTTTGTCTAGTTCAGTCCTCACTGAGGGAACACTGCAGGTAATGATGTCCTGAGAGCGCACACTGTAGCTGCACTCACACAGAGACATGTAGGAGGAGATGTATGAAGGCAGCAGACCAGGAAGTGATTTAAAGATGAAAATGTACCAGTGGGAGAGTCTGTGTGAAGTTAATGGTGACCAGTTAACCAGTGAATACTGGGTGCAGTGGTGGGTACGATAATCACAGCCAGTTATGAATCTTAGTGCACCATGATAGACAGCATCCAACATCTGCAGAATCCAACATCTGCAGGGTGCTTGTAGGAGCGTTCATGTAAATAATGTCACCGTGATCAATGGAGGGAAGGAAAGTCACAGATACAAGGCGTTCCTCAGGGTTCAGAGTTAGACAGGATCTGTTTCTGAAAAACAAACCCAGTTTAACTTCCAGTTTCTTTACCAAGTTTTCCACATGGAGCTTAAAAGAGAGATGTGAGTCAACCAAGATACCCAAATATTTATAGGAATCGACAAACTCAATGGGGACACCATTTGAGGATAAAATCGGAGGAAGAACTGCTGTGACCGACTTCCTGTTTGAAAAAAGCATTCCTGGAGCACATCCAACATGGAGCACGTCAAGAACACGGTCCGAGGCTCTTAACACTGAGGACATGTTAAGAACACTGTCTGAGGTCTTGAACACAGACGACACATGAAGAACTCGGTCTGAGGTTCTGAACACAGAGGGCATGTTAAGAACATGCATACTTATGTGGTGGTTACATGTTTCTGAATCATGTGATGCATGTGTGAAACCCACCTAGAGTCCATTGTACTCAGTGGGCGTCGGTCTCTCTGCCAAGCGATCTTGGCTTCTGGAATCCCATTTATCTGGCAGCTGAGTCTGACCACGCCCCCTTCGTCCACAGCAAGGGATTGTGGGTGGGACAGGAATTTTGGCAAGGCTGGAGGGATGGGAGACAGGTCAGTCACATGTTCTGTGTGTATTTGTTGCGTGTTACATGTGTGTGATGTGCTGCGACTCACATGCGAGCTGTACTCGCGCCTTTCGGCTGATCAACATCCCGTAGCGATTCTGGGCAGCACAGTCATACTCCCCAGCATCTGTCTCGTTGTTCTCATGTCTCTTGGAGAAGTTCTTGATTAGCAGTGTACCATTGCTGAGCACATTTGCACCAATTCCGGTCACCACAGCAATACTGTTACGTCTCCATGTGATGGAAATAGGCCCCTCCCCTTCCACCTGGCAATGCAGCATCAGCGGGTGGTCCCTGACAGCAATGACATCACTGGGCTCTTTCAGGAAGGCAAGCTCTGAGGCACCAAGCACACCTGAGAGATAAGAGGCGGAGTCTGAGAATGAGCAAACAGGACGTGTTCGGTCATGAAGCTGTTCTGAGACTTCTCTTTTAAAAGAGTTCAGAAGAAAACGTTTCTTTCTCTAAATGAAAAAACAGCATTTTATCTGTTTTAAATTATTTTAATACAGACTTAATATATTTTAGTATTAATGTTCCTTAATAAACGTCAGCTGTGGATGCTAGAAGCTAACTTTAGCTTTATGCTAATCACCTCTAAGAATATAAGCTAGCTTTGCTTCAGGACTCTGGGTCAGACTGACCGGGCCGGGTACACAAGTCCAACACCCTCAGGTGGACCTGGACTCACCATTTTGTGTTTGCAGAGACACTCACTCAGCCAGAACAGAACCAGACTGAACTGGACCAAGACAGATGACAAAGATGTTGATAATGATGAAGATGATGATAATGATGATGATGATGATGAACGGTTCACTGCTGGTCTCACTCATGTCTTGCTTGCAGTCAGACCTCAGAGGAATCAAGAGCCTTACACACACACACACACACACACACACACGCACGCACGCATGCACACACACACACACACAAGCATTGGTTTCTACTAATGAATCTCAGATCCAGACATGACAGCTGCAAAAGTGAAGAGAATAAACCAGGAAGATGGAGACAGCAGAGGTCAGAGGTCAGAAGAACCCCCCTACAGGATGCTTTTGGGGGCAGGGCTTTAATAGAGTTTTCAGTCAAACCCCCAGCAGGATGGGTCATCTGGTTCAGTCTGAATCCATCCCTCTCCATCGTGCACATTGTGAAACCAGGCTTTAATGTGTGTGTGTCTGTTATTTCAGCACTTTCTGAATGAATGAGCTGTTTTGAAACTCTCAGACAATGTTTGCTTATTGGCTATCTTGGAAGATGTTACTCTGGAAAAAAATACATGTCGCATGATTTTCACAGCCTTATGCATCGCAAAGAAAACCATACTCCTGAATTGGAAAAATAAAAATAATCTTAGCATTAATCAGTATAAAAATTTTCTGTTAGATCATATTAGTCTTGAAACAGCATCTGCC